TCGGGAACGATATCGATACTTCAAACAAAAAGGAAATAATTTAAATTCTTGTATCGCAGCCGCACGAAACGGACCAGAGCTATAAAGTAAGGCCAACAGATCTGAATATTTTATAGATCGTAATATTAGATAGATCTAAAACTAGCTGAAAAACCAAACCCAACTGAAAGTTGTTGGTTTTTGGTTAATACGCATTTCGGTTCCTATATGCACAATCCACTTAAAGAGCTACGAATTGCGAAAGCCAAAAGACAATTTCAAATTCGCGATTCGACAAATTCGCCAGAAAATTCAATTACCAGTCGAGTTTTTTTTTTTTTGTACGGGTAACTGGCGATTGGCGATTGGTGCATCCTATGCACAATTTGGGTTTTTAATTAAATTCACTTTCAAAAATGCCGCTAATCATTTAAAGAGTCGATTTTGGGGAGCCGGAGAAAGAGTCGAACAAAGCGAAATACATGCAAATCAATAATAATATGCGCAAATTTGCATATTTGTTTCAATCTCTCAATGGGGGGGGCGTGGCAGACGCAACCATTGATCGCCGCGATCGATCAATGTTTATAGTATATACAATTCACCCATTCATACACACATTCAGCTGATCGATCTGGCCAAATTTACGCAACACCAGCGTAAATATCAAAATATCAAAAGACGAACAGTTTTACCAACCAATTCCAAGACCCCGGGGCGCATTGCTTTGCTACAATTTCCAATCAAAAGTTGCACAAATACCCAAAGGAAGAAATAACCAACCCATCGAGCTGTTATTAGTCGCCCCATCAATACCACTAATTAGCCAAAATATCAGCCGGGCAAATGTGTCTGTGTGTGTGTGTGTGTGTGTGTGTGTGTAAAATCCACGTTGCGAATTTAAACATAGCTGCGAGTTATGCAAGAGCCGAGACAAGTCCAACAAAATCGACTTCTGATCTTCGATCCCGTTATTTATTTAGAACATTTCCGGGCTTACAGGCAACAATTGAATATGGTTATATATATGTAAGTATATTCCTGATCAGCATCAAGCAAAGCTTCAGACACTATGCACAGACCGTGCTTGTCATGTTTGCTTCGATATTATTTTCAAAAGATCGATATATATCGAAAAATATCGATTTTGAGTCTTTGTGTTAGTCAAAATTGAGACTTGAAATTCCAAATATTTTTTTTCGTTTACCATGCGATTTATTATGTTTTTCTATTTGATCTATTCACGTTATATCGATAAATATCGATATTGATAAATATTGCCTATCAAATTTGTTTCGATTTCATTTTGAAAATATCGATTAATATCGATTTTGAGACATTCAGACACCGAAGAAGAAGATAAGTGTATGTTTTTATAGAAAGCAGCTAGAATGCTAGGTCAGGGTATCTCCGGGTCGAGCACGCCCGACTGCAGCACTTTTGCCTGTTTTAATTCACCATTCACCAGAACCGAACCGCAAGGCGAGTCTTCGGCTCGAACTCTATCTTGCTGTTAGGGTATTTAGAATTCGTTGCGTTCACAATTAAGCACATATTGAGCTTTCCTTTGACGTCCGTATTAAGTTTTGCTCGTTTTTAATGCGCCAAAGCGGCGAGCTGTGAGTTAAGTAAAGTGGGTAAAGCTGGCGCTTAATTAAGACCACGTCGTCGTCGAATCGTCGAATCGTTGGATCGTCGAATCGTTGGATTGGCCGAGAGGTTACATAAATGGCAATAGCGAAAAATAAAACCAGAAAAGAGTATAAAAACCGAAACCGAAACGCGATTGCATATGCGATTGTTTTTCTTTAATTTATATATTTTTTTTTTCTTTTGGCTTAGTCGAAAAATTGTGCGATTTGTGTTTTTGGCGAGAAAGTTGCGCTTAAGATTCAGAAGTCTTAATTGTTTAAAGAAAGTTGCGACAGAAACTCTTGGTCTTGGGCCCAAGGAACAAGGGAACAAGATATAAGATTCGGGATTTCATGCAAAAGGTATAAATTATACGGTATATAGGTATAAAGTATAGGGACCAAGTGACAAGGCAGACAAGTATAACCGTATGCGTTCGAAGACAAGAGGTATAAAATATAAGGCAAAAACAAATAATGAAGCATGTTTAATAATTGGTAAAAAAGGCATAAAATATATAGACTATGAGACATAAAGTCAAGCAAAGTCCTGTAAGCTAAAAGGCATGACGAATATGGTATAAATTATAAGGTATTAATTTAATGTTAAAACCCATCAGGTATAAGACATTCAGGCATAACCTATTAGGTATAAATTGAATGGCTTTAGGCATCAGTAATAAGACATACACGCATTAAAAATATGGCATAAATTAGAAGGTATTATTTTAATGGCATAAGGTATAAGCTATAACAAAAGGTATAATATAAAGGTAAAGATGTGCAGGCTTCAATAAAAAAGGTATACATTTTAAGACAAACTATGTGTCGAAATTATGAGCTACGAGCCACTAACTGAAATGCCCTCAATAATTAGGTATAATGTATATAAAAATTACACGAAAAAAAGGCATAAATAATCAAGCCAGGATGCTGCATATGAATAGCAAAGCATGAATGAGAAGGTATAAGAAAAAGGACGTCCGTTAAATAAATTATATGAAAAAAGGTATAAATAATCAAGTATTAGTTGCTCTTGATTTTGAGGTACGGTCAGCCGAAGAGTGTTTACTGTAGTCGTCATGCGCGATGTCACGAGATGGATTCTACGACTCCAGCAAGGTCAGCGGCATGATTGAATTCGCATGCTTCGTGCCGCTTGCAACAGCTTATGCAACAGCAACGGCAATTTGATAAATAGATAAGCGATAAGTTTTATGGTTGGAATAGCCTTCGGTTAATTCGGGATTTGCCATTGCCCATTTGCCCAGGCCAGACCAGACCAGACCAGACCAGGCCAGACCAGTTGCGGTTGCATTAATCTTCGCCTGCCACAAAGCTGTTGCAGCTCATGAAGTTCACAGTTCAATTGAGCTTACCGCTAATTAGCTGCGGTAAGTGTGATGGGGAGGGGGGGGGGGCGGGGGAGGGGGGCTCGCTGAGATGAGCTTAGGTGCTGGCAGGGATGGCCCAGGTGTGACCATTGGCCATTGCCGTTGCCGCTGGCAATGCGATTAAGATGGGCGCCCAGCAGCAATGCACATACATGTATATATATATGTATATACCCTGCTGCAAGAAGGGCATGCTAGTTATCTGCAAATGTATGTAACAGGCAGAAGAAAGCATTTTCCAACTCATAATGCATATATAGTTGCTTATGCTTCTTTTCATATATTAATGCATTTTCCTAATATCGATAAATATCGATTTTAGGACTTGTTTCTGTAGGCATAGCTTGAAAATTATAGGTACTAGCTAGGTTGTTGTACATAGAAGAGTACGCTAGTTTTTTGCAAATGTATGTAACTGGCAGAAAGCATTTTCAGCCTTATTTTGTATGCATAGTTGCCTATCTTCAAGCATTTGCCTAGTATCGATAAATATCGATAAACCTATAGTTTACATAAATGAAGAAGAATACATTCCCTTTGCTATACATAACAACAGACTTATTAGTTTTAGCCTTGGGCTATGGGATATACGCACATTATGCTCCGATATTAAAGCGCTGCAAATTTCATGCAGATCGGACTCTGAACACCGATCTTAGGCACGAACACATTTACCATAGCTGGAGATAAAGGGAAGCAGAAGTGTGCGTGTGTGTGTGTGTGTGTATTTGTGTATATACATATGCATATATATAGATTAAGGTAGGCTGGGCTCAGGGCATCTTTAAGTCGTGCACATCCGACTCGGGCTGTCTTGAGGTTTTTGCTGTTGCAGAGGCTTTTAAGTAACCGACCGCCGCGAGTCACTTTTATGTTTTATTTTTATTGATTTTATTTGTATAATTTTTGTTGTTGCTGTTGTTGCTGCTGCTGCTGCTGCTATTGTGGTTTTGTGTCCCACAATTATGTCAGCTGCAGTTCCATAGTCATAAATTTGCGCTGCTCGTTTCAATGTACTTTCATTCATTTCCCCTGCTGCAACATCATGCTGCTTGTTGCATGTGGCACACTGCGGCAGCAGCAGCAGCAGCAGCAGCAGCAGCATTAGCAGCGACTTGTGACAATCCATTAAGAGCAAATATTCATTTGGAATGCAGATTTAATGGGAAATGCACATATTGAAATTTATGATACCAGTTGTGTGTGTGTTTTTCTTTTTCTTTTTTTTTTTTATATGCATATGTATATCTTAATCAGATTCCTGAACGTGCACTTCATTTGTTACGTTCGGTTTTGATGCAGGCGTGTTCCGGTTTTCACTTTCAGCTAGAATTCTATTCACTTCATTTATTCACGTTCTCGCTGCCGTCTGCCGTCTGCTAAATGTGCTTTCAATTATCTTCATTTGTTATTTTCTTATCAACTTCTGTCGGTAATAATCCATTAGCATATTGACTAAGGGAATAATGGAATGGAACACTCAAATATTGTTTTGATTATTTGATTTTATGAGTTTTTCCATAACCTTCTTCTTACCTCTTTCCTACAAATATGAACAGGGCATGCTGGAATGGAACATGCATGACTTTTGACTTTGATCGTTTTATCCTGGTTTATTCCTTTACTGATATGTACTGATGCCTTAGTTGCTCGCAAGTGGAATGCTGGAAAGAAACACTCGTTCATTATTTTTGCTTGAGAAAGAAAACGCTTTTGTTATTTTAAATTTGGTGTCTTTGCGAATTTGTGCATTATTGAAAAGTTTGTTCCAATTCAACTGTTTCCCAAACAATGGAACGCTGAAAAGAAAACATTCGCTACGTTCCCAAATAATAACTATAATTAATTAAATCTTAACTGAAGTATAAAAACGATTAGAAACGATTTGAACTATAACCTACAAAAAGGTTTGCAGAGGGAACGCGGAAATGGAACACTAACGATTGTAAAACTAATATGTTTCAATTTTAACATTTAATTTTTCCTATCTTTGCAGAACTTAGACAGAAATAACGAGTGAAAGCTTTAATAAAGAGAAAGGAGAGCGAAAGAGAGGAGAGAGAGAGAGAAGGAGAGAGAAAAAGCTAGTAACTGTACTCTCTTTACTAAACGAACGAGACAATGCACGACTCTCTGGTGTTAGCCCAACCCTAAGCGAAGAGCGTGTGAAATCCATGCACGATAACTAGTTGAATAAAATAGCTTCCCCCTCCTCGAGCCATTACGATTAACGCAACAGAGCGGCGATAAATTTCGAATAGAACGAGTTTACAATCAAGCGATAAACTTAAACGACAGATTTTTGGGCGCCATGGCAATGCTCGAGGCGCGGCCTTACAGGCCATTCAAGTCCAGTGAAGAGTATCTGGAGGCCATGAAGGAAGATCTCGCTGAATGGCTGAGCACACTCTATCCGGAGCTGAGCATCAATGCGGAGAACTTTATGGATCGTCTGGATACGGGCGTTGCGCTCTGCAAGGTAAGTTCTAAATTTAACAAGCGCTTTGACATGCACTTCAACTTTTATATGAGCTCGAATGCACTTAGTTTCAATTCACAATTGCAATTAGGCAATTTAACTGCCAGTTAAATAGTTGACGAGCAACGTTAACGTTTTGCACACTTGGCAACACCGAACAGTGTTGAGAAACAAGAATTTAAATTAAATTAATCGAGTTGTCATCATTCTGAATAATTTTGACATTTAGCTGACATTTCGACTGAACAAAAAAACCAAAAAGCAATTGCATATTGAATTGCTTGCCAGCTAACATGAAATTTAACAGACAGATGAGAAAACTCGCATGCGAGCATTTGATTAGCCCCCCCCCCCCCCCCCCTTCCCCCCTCCAAAGGTGCTATCCGTGGGTCGGCCAGGGTGTACGCGAGTGGTAAGCAATCTTTTATGGGCGGCAGCTGTTTTGACTGTTCGACTGACGCATAAACAAAGCCAAATGTGAAAAAAGCTCTGGCACACATTTCAGGCAGATGATGCAGAGTTTGGTCTTGGACTGCAGCTCCCAGGTCCGAGTCTGGGCTCGTAAAACTGAATTCACACATGCCTCTGATTAGTGGGCGCAGCAGCTGCAGCTGCAACTGCATCTGTATCTGCATCTGCGACTATTGATGTTTGTTTGGTTACGTGCTAAAGGCACTGACGCTGCACGGATACAGTTGGGCTGCTGCTTTTATGACCAGGCAGTCAGTCAGTGCGTCAGTCAGTCAATCAATCAGTTAGATGCTAAAAGCGCTAGTGAGTCACAGACTTGCGACTTGGGCTGCTGCTTTTCTGGGCAGGCGGTCACTCAGTCAGTCATTGAGTCAGTCGGTCAGTCAGTCAATCAATCAGTCAGTCAGTCGCTTAGTCAGTCAGTCGGTCAAACTGTTGGGTGTTAAAGGCGCTGTGATTCACGGACTCTGGGATGTATTTGAGCTACTTCCTTTCTGTCCAGACAGTCAGTCAATCAGTCAATTAGTTAGTCAATCATTCGCTTAGTCAGTCAGTCAATCAATCAGTCAATCTGTTAGGTGTTGAAAGCCCTGGTGTTGCATGGACTCTCAGATGTATTTGAGAACTGCCTTTCTGTCCAGACAGTCAGTCATTTAGTAACTCAATCAGTCAATTAGTTGGTCAATCATTCGCTTAGTCAG